GTAATAAATCAAATATCAGGGGGTGTGAGTGTAATTTATTCAAACATTTTTGCAGTATGAGGGAATAGCTAAAAACATTAGTACAATTGACGTTTTTAGCTAAAACATCAAATATTTAGGTGTAAATGTGCCACAATCTTGTACAAAAATCGTTATTTCCTAAAAACGTCAGACCAACTGACATTTTTAAAACTACCTGTGTTTGAAAATTATATTCAAACCATCCATTATTTGTGACTTTTTATTCAAAACACCTTGGGATGGGTCAAAAGCTCCCAATTAAATAATCAACTCAATAATCAATAATCAATAATCTACTCAATACCCAATTAAATAATCAACTCAATAATCAATAATGTATAATCTACTCAATACCTAATTAAATAATCAACTTAATAATCAATAATCAATAATCAATAATCAATAATCAATAATCAATAATCTATAATATATAATCTACTCAATACCCAATTCAATAATTAACTCAATAATCAATAATCAATAATCTATAATCTATAATCTATAATCTACTCAATACCCAATTAAATAATCAACTCAATAATCAATAATCTATTATCTACTCAATACTCAATTCAATAATCAACTCAATAATTAATAATCTATAATCTATAATCTATAATCTATAATCTACTCAATACCCAACTCAATAACTCAATCAATAATCAACTCAATTCAATAATAAATATTTTCATAGAATTTCAATATTTCTATCATTTCATATAATTTCAATATTTTTCTTCAAATAATGTAAGAATTCTTACCAGATTTTGTGGATGTCAACAGTGCAATGGAGGCTGACAAAATAGCTTGGATTTGGGGCTTTGATGCTTGGGTGGTAGTGGTTGGTGCTAGGTGGGGCTAGGTGGTTGTGGGTGGGGTTGGGTGGCGCTGCATGGTGGTGGGTGGTGCTGCGATGATGGAGTTTCTACAAAAGTGGTGGTTCTGCGTGTCTGCTGTGATGGTGGTGGTTCTACGTGTCTGCTGCGATGGTGGTTGCCGAATTGTCTGCTGCAATGGTGGTGGTTCGCTTGAGTGAGTTAGGGCTTAAATGAGATTTCAGGGGAAAGAAGAGAAAATAAGGAAAGGAAATAAGGCTGGAGGGAAAAAAAGGATTATTAGGTTTGAGTTAAATCGTGTCATTGCAACTGGCTATTTAAAAAGATAGCCTGCTACGGTGTTGGTTGTCTCTAGTTCAACCCATAATTTTCTACATCCTTCTCTAGCTCGACGTTGTGGTTATCTTGTGCACAACACTACTCCAATTAGCGTAACCATTGCCAACGGAGGAATTCTTTATAGTCATGGTAAGTGTAATGGAGTTGGCCTAAATTTGCAAGGTTTTTGGTTCAAATATGAATTTTCCTTATTACCGGTGAGTGGATGTGATATTGTCCTGGGGGCTGCTTGGCTTCGTTCCTTAGGCGCCATTGCTTGGGATGTTTCTAAATTAATTATGAAGTTTATTCTAGATGGACAAGAGTTCAAGTTAGTAGGTAATAGATCCTCAATCAACACTATTGTTGATCAAGGCAAACTTCACAGGTTGAGGCTCCAAACTGACTGTGTATTCTTGTTACAATTGGTGGCTGCAAATGTTGTTGTAATGGAGAGGGAGGTTCCTCCTGAAATCATCCGTATTCTTGACCATTTTAGGGATGTGTTCGGTGACCTTAAGGGATTCCCCCCTACACGGACTCAAGACCATCGTATTCCACTGATCCCAGGTAGTGTTCCAACCAATGCCTGGTCGTACTTTGATCCTTATTTTTAAAAGGATGAGATCGAGAGATTGGTTAAGGAAATGTTGGTTGCTGGCTTGATTCGACCGAGTGTTAGTCCTTATTCATCCCCAGTGCTACTAGTGTGGAAAAAAGATGGTTCTTGGCGGTTGTGCGTGGACTATCGCTCCCTTAATAGTATTATAATAAAGGATCACTTTCCTATTCCAATTATTGATGAGCTGTATGGTGTTGTGATTTTTTCTAAGTTGGATCTTCGTTCCGGTTATCATCAAATTCATATTCATGCACCAGATATTCCAAAGACTGCATTTTGCACTCATGATGGCCACTATGAATTTCTTGTCATGCCTTTTGGGCTTTCTAATGCACCATCCACCTTTCAAAGTTTGATGAATGATATATTTCGGCCTTACTTAAGGCGGTTTGTCCTTGTATTCTTTGATGATATACTAGTCTATAGCAAATCTGTACAAGACCAAATGGAGCATTTGTCATTAGTGTTACAATGTTTGCGCCAGAATCAACTATATGCTAAATAGTCCAAGGGTTCTTTTTCCAAGTCATCTATGGACTATCTTGGCCATATTATTTCTAGAGAAGGGGTTATGGTGGATCCCAAGAAAATTTGCTACATGATTGAGTGACCTAAATCCAATACTCTTAAGGCTTTACGAGGTTTTTTGGGGCTCACTGGCTATTATAGAAAATTTGTGCAAAATTATGGTCAAATTGCAGCACCCTTAACTCACATGCTCAAAAAAGACTCATTTGGATGGTCCTCGGATGCAAAAATTGCTTTTGAGAAATTAAAGCATGCTATGACAACCACACCAGTGTTAGTGTTGCCCGATTTCTCTTAAAAATTTGTTCTAGAATGCGATGCTTCAAGTAGTGGAATTGGTGTCATTCTTATGCAGCAAGGGCGACCCTTAGCCTTTGTTAGTAAAGCTCTTTCTGGGAAAAATTTAAATATCTCGGTCTATGATAAAGAAATGCTTGCTATAGTCTTTGCGGTGAACAAATGGCGACTATATTTTTTAGGTCGCCACTTCACAATTCTTATTGATCATAAAAGTCTAAAAATTTTTATGGATCAACGGGTTTCCTCACTTGAGCAACAAAAGTGGGTTACGAAGCTGTTGGGATATGATTATACGATAGTGTTTCGAAAGGGGGCAGAAAATCGAACTGCAGATGCTTTATCCGGACAAGCTGAAGAATCTACCTTACATGCTATTTCTTCCCCTATATTTTCGGCCATTACTGAGATCACTGTTGAATGCTTGACTGATCTTTCCTTGTCCCCTATTCTTACTCAATTACGACAAGGTGTGTCTATAGATTTGGGTTATTCTCTTCGTGATGGTGTTTTACGTTATAAAAACCGAGTGGTGGTTCCCTCTTCTTCTCTTTGGTGTTCCAAAAATCTGTTGGAATTCCATGCTTCCCAAATTAGTGGACATTATGGACTTATATGCGTATCCAACGCAATTTTTATTGGAAGGGTCTCAAAAGGGCTATTAAGAAGTTTGTTGCCGAGTGCGATGTTTGCCAACGGAATAAATCTGAAAGTATCTCTCCACTTGGGCTGCTACAACCTCTACCAATTCCAGAGGAAGTGTGGACTGATATTTCAATGGATTTCATTGATGGGTTACCTCCTTCATTTCACAAAACTTCTATTATGGTTATAGTTGATCGACTATCCAAATATGCCCACTTCTGCGCACTTGTGCATCCTTATACAGCAACTACAATGGCTGAAATTTTTGTTCGGGAAATTGCACATTTACATGGAATGCCTAAATCTATTGTTAGTGATTGAGACCCTATTTTCACAAGTTAGTTTTGAAAAGCATTTTTTGAATTGCAGAGCACTAGTCTTTGTCAAAATTCAGCTTACCATCCCCAATTCGACGGGCAAACTGAAGTGGTTAACCGATCCCTTGAGGCTTATTTGTGTTCCTTTGCAAGCCAACAACCTTCTAGTTGGACAAAGTGGCTACCATGGGTTGAATGGTGGTATAACACTTCCTTTCAATCTTCATTGCAAATGACGCATTTTCAAGAAGTTTATGGTTGGCCTCCATTGCCCATTGATTCATACCTTCCCTATACTATTGTTGTTCATGCTGTAGATGTTGTCTTACGTGATCATGATAGTATATTGCGACTATTAAAAGAAAATTTAACTGCTGCCCAGTCTCGCATGAAATATTTTGCTGACCGTCATCGAACTGAACGCTCCTTTAGTGTGGGAGATTGGGTTTTTCTCCGACTTCAGCCATATCGACAAATTTCCTTGGGCCCCCGCAGGCCACATAAGCTATCACCACGATTTTATGGACCTTTTGGTGTTCTTTCATGCATTGGAGAAGTCGCTTACAAACTAAATTTGCCTATAGAGTGTCGTATCCATCCAGTTTTTCACGTTTCTTGCCTCAAAAAGAAACTTGGAGAAATGGTGCAACCTGCTCCACAGCTCCCTCCCATTTTTGATAGTGGTGTTACTACGTGGCAGCTACTTCGCATTCTGGATCGTGGGTTGTTTAAGTGCAACAACAAGCCAGTTACACACCTTCTTGTCCAGTGGACTGGATTTTCTACTACTGATGCAACTTGGGAGGATTATTCAGATTTTGTCGCTCGTTTTTCAGCTTTTTCAACTTGAGGGCAAGTTGGGATTTCAAGGAGGGGTGGATGTTAGGCACCTCATTTGCATGAGCTGCCACTTGCACTACTATGCATATGATTATTTTTTAGATTTTTATTCTTTATTTAGTTTTGGATTTCTATCCTAAATTAGTTGTATGGATAGAAATTATGAATAGTTGGGGTCAGATTAGGAGTTTATTGAGCCAAGAGTTGTAATTGGCAAGGAGTATAGTTAGTAGTAGAAGTCTAGTTAGGAGTTCTATTCTATTTATATCTTCCCAAACATTGTTTTTGGCACAAACAATTTTAATAAAAGTTGGAGGACGATTCCCCTAGAAGTGAATCAATTTCTCACAAGATCCTTGGATCCTATCATCCCCCAACCCACTCATTCTCTCTTCAAATCTGCGTCCATGAAGCATACTATTTTATTGCATATATTCTCCGTTGTTGCTTGATTCATTTTACTTAAAGACAATTTGTAAATTTGAACCTAGAAAGGGCACCAACTAAATGACACATTGGACGCCTGCAACGCTCCATCATATTCCTTAAGAAGAACTAATTGGTTATCTCAAAGGACTATGACAAACCTTCTAAAATTTTGTTCTTGTCCAGCACATTGTTAAACTGGATCAAGAACAAATTGTTTCCAGCCTCTATAATCTCTACTTTGACATTATTCCAGACCATTCTCATTATACTTTTGCAAGCCGCCTTATTGTAGAGTTTCATTGACAAGACTTTGCCAAATACACATAATCTGCCTTTCTTCCCTAAAGCACCATCTCCCTCATTAATGATACTAATGCTCGAGCTCCCCTCCTCCGTAAGGTTGAAAGTTCTCCACAGTTGTTGCAACTTCTCATCCATAGTAGCATCTAGCAGACCACAAATCTTCTGAGAAAAAAAGCCCCAGCAAACTAGCCACAAAAGGATCCAACGTAACTATTCAAGACCTGCAAACACGAAGCAAACCTAATACAATCTTCTTGCAAAAGACAAATGGACAACTTCTAAATAAATATTACTAGACTGATAACTTAATAAAAAGACGAATCATGAAATAGAAGGAATAGAAAAATGATAACCAAACTTTCATTAGGAAAACCTAAGGAATATGACGACTCTGACGGACAGAGAGAAACCCTTCTACCCTCGCTAGAGAGGATGGTGCATAAGCCTTCATGTGTCTTTCTCTTGTGCCCTTCAAGTAATTTTCTTTTTTGTCTTTATTATGCTGGTTTTACATGACGATGAGTTCATTTTTTTTAATACTAAGTTTTTAGTAAAGTTTGTTGCTTAAGTTTCAGTTTCTTCGATATGAGATATAAACTTTTATTCATTATGTGATGTAGCTCTTTAATATCCTTGGTTTCATGCTTCTCCATAATGTTGCAATCTCTTAGTGCGATTATATGCTAGAATTTTGTTAGGTTCTTTTCTTTTTAGCAAGTAGTAGGGTTGGTAATTAGGTTGGCGGAGAATCAGATGGAGTATAGAGTGTATTTGTTTAACAAGTGTATTTAACTTTGGTATATGATTTAAAGAAATCCAATTGCACGCTATTCTAATATTAGTGTGTTTAGTATATTTTTCTTTTTCCCATTGATATCTTTACTTTAAGGTTAGATATTCTTGGATTGGGATTGAGATTGAGAGTAATTGGAACTAAAGAATTGGAATTATTGGAATTTCTTACTTTAATATGAAATTTTATGCTTGAGTTGAAAGTATGATTTGATGCTTGAATTGAGTATTTTTCCATAGGGACCATTGAATTATTCTTGTTTGTTTAAAAGATGTACTTATTGCATTTGTTGTTCTATTGTCATTCCTATGCTTTGCTGGATTTTGGTATTTTGGTTTGTTTGAAATTAAGAACATTGACACTCTGGATCTGGTTACCTTTGTAGTTTAATAGGACCATAGTTTAGGATTTGTGGCAAAGAACATGATGCTCTGCATGGGAAATTTTACATTGCATTCCATGGTGAGTTCAAGAAATGGGATGAGCTGTGTTTTTTATGCAGTGTCTTCAGATATAGGTCCATTGCTACATATTCAATATTCATCACTATTAATATTTATTTTTATTTTTAATTATATTAGCAGTCCAGTTGAACTTGTGACTCGTACTCGTTGACCTAGCCCAAGGTCAGATTAATTCCTGAGATAATGGGATGTGAGTACCTTTTTCAAAACTTATTTGACTTTAAGTACCACCTCCAAACTTATCTTCTTTTAAGTCCTGTTTTTCATCAAATAGTTGTCAATAAGTACACATTTTAAAATATTTTCAAATTCTTTCTAAAATGTATTCTATAACTACCCCTACCATAAATAATTTATACCTACTTGAATGTAAGACTTTCAAGATTAGAATGTGAGACTTTTAAGATTCTTTTTGATATTTGTGTATCATTTGAATTTTAAAATTTCATATATATATATATATAGACACACACACACATAATACAATGACACGCTCAATAAAAAAAGAGTAACATCAAATAGTGACACGCTCAACAAAAATATTTGTGTTACTGTTTGATATTACTATTTTTTTATTGAGTGTGTTACTGTTTGATGTTACTTTTTTTTTTATTGAGCGTGTCATTGTTTGATGTTACTATTTTTTTGTAAAGCGTATCACTGTTTAATGTTACTGTATTACGTGTGTTTGTATGTATATATATATATATATATATATACATGAAATTTCAAAATTCAAATGATACACAAATATTAAAAAAAATCTTGAAAGTCTCACATTCGTATTCATTATTATGGTACGGGTAAAAGGGATTTTATGACTTTTTTTTAACATATAAACTTCTATCTTAATTATTTTAAAAAATATACTTTTATCCTATTAGTTTTTTGGGAGGTACCAACCTCCTTAAGTCCCTTAATTCCTTAGCCGGATTTAACATGTATGCCCATCAGCGTTTTATAACCCAGCCTGATACAGCGGGTTGACCTGGTGAGCCGGACTTTAAATCGGGTCGGTTACTTAATTAGATCGGTTAAGCATGGAAACAGTTTACTACTCACTCAACCGGCCGGTTTTTTACGAAACCTTTTAAAACGGACGGGTTATGCCAAACTGGGCAGGTCTATTAAAATCAAAATTATTTTTGCCCTAATTGCTTTGCCTCTTTTGAAACAAAGAGAGTCGAACTCTCATGAACCCTCGGCTCCTCGACGACGAATACCCGGCCAACCTGTCTCTCTCTCTGCCCTGCAAGCTTGGGATCAGCGATCGTGGTAGCCTGGTAGGTAGGAACGACGAACTTACGAAGGTAGAAGAAGCGAAGAAACTTCGACCTGCTAGATTCTTCACCTCCTTCATTGACGATTTGGCTTCTCACTTAGTTGAGTCTGCGCATTTCCTCCACTTAACACTCCTACTGGTACATCTCTCTCTATCTCTTTCCTTCTCTGTCTCTCAGCTAGTCTGATATTTTAGATTTGGTATAAATTGTTGGCCAATTTGAATTTCAGATTTTGGGCCTATTTTGATATAGCTGTCACCACACTTACACTTGCAAGTTTTATTTTTTATTTTTTTGTCTTACACTTTCAAGTTTTTTTTTTTTTTTTTTGATATGAAACGATAGACTTTATTAAGAACTAAAATTGATCATTCCGAAGAAGAGAATCCAATAATTCTGGATATTCCCCTCTCCAAGAAACAGGATTATTACAATGAATAGCATAATGCGATAATTTATCTGCCACAGCATTAGCAGAACGCCTCACCCAGGAAGTAGAAAATTCATGGAAATGTATAGCATTCTTCTGAATCTGTTCAATAAATACTCCATGGCTGGACAGATTTGGTTCCTCCCTCCTAATATCCTCCACAACTGATTTTGAATCACCTTCTAAAATAATACTTGTTAATCCCAGCTCCACTCATATCTTCACAGCATGAAAAGCAGCCAGCGCCTCAACACAATCAGCACTCAAAGAACACCTCACTAATTTACATAAACCACCCATGAAATTACCCCTCCAATCTCTAGCAACAACCCCAATCCCCACTACTTTAACGGAACTGAATACAGCCCCATCAAACTTTATCTCACAAAACCACAAGGAGGTGCCGACCTGCAGGGCATACCAGAAAAAGAGGGGGGGAACGGTTTCTTCGGGTTACACTATCCTGAGCCTCCAAGAATTGATTTAGGTACGAACTTGAAAAATCAATTACTTGGGTAGGAGTTTGGACAACCTCTTCTAGGCGGGTCTTATTTCTATTATACCAAATAGACCAACAAATAACTAACATACAGCTTACCTCCAACTGTGTTAGTCTCTCTGTAGCAGCCTCCAACCAGCTGTGGACCGAATTTGCTGGACCTTCTGGAAATCTGATCAAGGATTCAAACCACACCTGTTTCGCAAAGGGGCATTTTAGGAGGACATGAATAGAAGATTCGTAGGCAGCACCACATAGAAAACAACTATTGTTGACATCTAATTTCCTTCTAGCTAGGTTGCACTGGGTTGGTAAAATATCTTGGATTGCCCTCTATGCAAATAGCTTAACTTTGTCTGGAATATTTAAGCTCCACACAAACGCACCACTCCATTGACCTTGGCTGCTGCTTGAACCTCCACGACCTCTGTTATCCATAATCAAGTGGTATGCACTCTTGACCGAAAACTTACCCAACTTCGTATAGTGCCATACTTGATGATCATTGGGAAGACTTGGGCAAATGGGAATTGATAGTATTTCCTCGGCCTCAAAGTCCAAAAATACCTCATATAGTTTATCTATCTTCCAAGTTTTTAAATCATAATCAATCAGTGAACTCACCAAATCATTATCTGCCACCCCCGAGAGAGGTCTAATAACCTTGAAAATAGTCGGTCTTGGAATCCATCTGTCAGATTTTATCCTGACATTTCTCCCATTGCCAATCCGCCATTGTAGACCCTCCAACACATACTCTCTAGACTCCATCAAGCTACGCCAAGTAAAGGAAGGGTCATAACCCAGTTGAGCATCCATTAATGATGTATTTGGAAAATATTTAGCCTTTAACTCCCTTCCCAGCAAAGACGATGGATATTGAAGAAGCTGCCATATCTGTTTTGCAAGAAGGGCGTAATTAAAAGCTTCTATATTCCAAAAACCCATCCCACCTCTAGACTTCAGTCTGCACAGTCTATCCCATGCTATCCAATGAATTTTCCTCTTAGAGCTATTACTACCCCACTAGAACTTTGCCATCAGGCTATTTAGTTCAGCACATAATGTAGAAGGTAGCTTAAAGCACGATATAGTATATGTCGGAATAGTTTGCGCTACTGATTTAATAAGGATCTCTTTGCCTGCACTGGATAGGAGTTTCTCTTGCCAACCTTGTAAATTCACCCATACTTTCTCGCGAATAGAGTTAAAAATAGCGTGCTTCGTTTTTCCAATCACCGAAGGAAGCCTAGATATTTATCATGGTGTTCAATAGCAGGAACTTGTAGCATACTCTGGATTTCCCCCTAGACAGAAGGCGGGGTATTCTTACTAAATACGACAGCTAATTTAGAGAAATTAACTACTTGTCCGGAAGCCATTTCATATTTGTGAAGACACTCCATAATAACCTCACAATTCCCTCTAGTGGCCTGAGCAAATAGAAGGCTATCATCCGAAAAGAATAAGTGAGAGAAAATTGGCCCTCCTCGACCCGCTGCCATTCCTTTGAGACTTCCCCTAATCTCAGCTGCTCTTAAAAGTGCCGAGAAACTTTCGGAGATCTCGTTGCGGCCTGAAAAAACTTGATTGTTCCCCATTAATTACAAGCGAGTAGGATATTGTCAAAACACATCTCATAATGATTTTCACCCAACGTTCATCAAACCTCATTCTACACATCATCGCTGCTAGAAAGTTCCACTCAATCCTATCATAGGCCTTACTCATATCAAGTTTGAGTGACATGTATGCCTTACCTCCCTTTTTCCTCTACTTTAGATAGTGGTTGAGCTTATATACAATCAGAACATTATCCGTAATCAGCCGTCTTGGGATGAATGCACTTTGAAACTTTGAAATTATTTTAGGTAGGATTCTCTTTAGTCTATTCGCAAGAACTTTCACTATTAGTTTATAAACAATGTGACACAAGCTAATAGGACGAAAGTGTGTCATGTTTTCTGGGTTTGGGATCTTAGGTATCAATACTATGTGTGTATAGTTAAGGCTACAACATAGGTTATCAGAATTTAGGAAATCCAAGACAACTCTTGAGACATCACCACACACCACTGACCAGATTTTTTGGAAGAAAATTGGACCCATACTGTCTGGACTTGTAGACTTATTTGGATGAAATTGGATCAGAGCTTCAGCAACTTCAGAAGGTAAAAATTTTGCTAATAGAATGCGGTTCATTGTTAGGAAAACACTCGGAGCAACACTGTTTGTGATTTGCTGTATCTGGTGAGAAGAAGGATGTGCTGACCTGAATAAATCCGTAAAATAATTGACTACTATTTGTTCAATCTGTTCCTGTTGTGTTTCCCAAATACCCTCATTAAACAAGCCTATGATCAAATTTCTCTGCTTCCTCGAACTCACTTGAGCACGGAAGAAGATCGTGTTTCTATCCCCTTCCTTCAACCACAATGATTTTGAACGGTGCCTCCACATTGTCTCCTCCGTTTCCAACAGGTTGTTTATTTGAAATTTTACCTCTCGTAATTCAGTTCTTATATCCTTTGTGATAACTCTAGCCTGTAAGTTGGACATCCTCACTCTATTCTTCTGAAACTTGGTGGTTATATTTCCAAACTTCTCGTACTTTCACTTCAATAAACCTACTCTGTAGCTTCTCATATTACTAAGATAGTGTTGTACAAGCGAACCCAACCCGAAACCAAGCCAACATTGTTGGATTACTTCCGAGCAAGATGGGTCAGTAAGCCACATGGGCTCAAAACGAAACCGTTTTTCCCTTCTCCTTGCTACTCCACCATCTTGTGAATTTGATACACGAAATAAAATTTGACAATGGTCCGAGTCCATAGTAGGTATATGTTCAACACTACTGGAGGACCACAGAAGAGACGCCCAAATTCTATCCAACCTCGCCTTAATTGAGTGAGGATGGACACTCCCATTCCACCATGTAAAAGGGATACACTTGAAACCCATATCTTTTAAATGACACACATCAATTGCTTCACAAAAATCCTTTATTTGCCAACTTGAACGATATTGTCCACCCCATTTCTCTTCCGAAGAAACAATCTCATTGAAATCTCCCCCACAAATCCAAGGAAGGTGGGATCTCTAATTTAATAGCTTCAACAGTCTCCATGAATACTTCCTAGAACTAGCATTAGGGTGACCATAGAAGCCCACAAAACGCCATTACTTAGGAACCCCTCATTAATAACTGCTTCAATATGGAAATCTAAGAAGCTTTTAATGCTAATTCAAACTACCCTTTTCCACAATAAAGCAAGTCCCCCACCTCTACCTCGCGAATCAACTACCAACCCTTGCGACAACCCGAAATTTTATTTTATCAATCTCGTCAGAAAATAGTCTGGTTTCCATCAAGAAAGTCAAACTGGGCTCTTTTCGCTTCACCAAATCATGAAGCACACAGACTGCGCAAGGGTTCCCAAGCCCTCGGCAATTCTAGCAGAAGCTTATCATAGCTCCCGACGGGACTAATCAACAGTCTCCGCTGATAATGATGAGTTGAGAGATGTAGATTGTAATACTTGAGCCTTCTTACAAGAAGCATTGCCTTTTCCAGAATTTGTTGGCCACCCTAGGTCTTCTCTCTGCCTCTTACCACCCACCTTAACCTCCTGGATTTCCCAATTTTCAGCTAGAGTAGAAGTTTTAGCCTTGCGGGACCACGTCCCTTTACCTTTACCTTTGCTAACCAACTTCAAAGCCCTAACTGTCCCAATGTGTAGCTCGGAAGACAGAGACTTTTCTCCAGAAAAAGAAATGTCTTCCCGTGGAATTGGGTCCTTGGAGTCTTTAGTGAATGAGTCCGTGTTTACCACAGACTCCAAATGCTCCATATGAACCGTAGTTGGATACTCTGAGGTTAAGCCCACTTCATATAGTTCACTAACCATAGAGGCCTATATAGTTTTTGTAGGGCCCAAAGCCTCATCCCTAACTAAAATTACCCGTTCCCTCCTTTCTTTATTTAAACCAATCATCGAAACTTCCCTATCAATCTGTGAGGAGATTACCTCTCCCAGAATTCTCTCATTAATAGTAGAGATCCTTTGATTGCAGTCCCTGATTTCTGGCCCACCATTGTGCCTAGAATCCCCTTGAAATTGCCCATGATCAAGCCCCAAATCTAGAATCGATGTAGAAGCCACCGGCACAATTTTCGATGAGCCAGAATCAGTCCAGTGCCGTAGAACCAACTTAGACTTAGTAACAGTAGCGTTCAACCAATTGTCATATTGATAACCCTTCCCTTCTTCCTTTTCCAAAGTTGCATTTAGCCCAGTGCATTGCTTCATGGTGTACCCAACTTTATTGCAGTGATAACACATATATGGTAGCCTTTCGTATTGAAACAAGGCAAAATGGGTATCCCCCATCCTATCTCGGAGTTTAATTCCACAACGAAAGGGTACTGTAATGTTCACAACAACCCTTAACCTCATGAATCAGCTACCTTTCCCAAACTATTCACGAATTTCCACGACCTCCCACTCCTTAAAACTATCAGCAACTTTGATTGCCATATCCTTGGTAATACATTCGCGAGGAAGACCATTAACATGAACCCAAAATTGGACCAAATCAAAAGGAACTGATTTAACACCAATACCTTTGAACCATCTGTAACTGATAATCAAAGAGTTATCAAAACACCATGGGCCTTGAAATAGGATTTTGTAAATCTCCCTCTCCTCCTTCAAGAAAAATTGGAAAATATTAGATGAAATCCTCATAACTCCCAAATCTTTACACCCCCAAACCCCCGACATTGTATTCTTTAGAGCTACGGTGTTAACATATTTCTCAGACAAAATCTTCACATAAACACTCAAAACACACTCCTCCAAGTCTTCTGCAATGTCTTCAGTATTAAAATCAATAGCCACATCCTCCTCCTCTGTAAGAGAAAAACTTTGAAGCTTATTAAGCAAACCTTCTTCCATAATGCCTCCTTCGAAAAACAAGCCCTAACCACAATGAAACAAATGGGAAAACGACAAACCAAAAAATCAACGAACAAGAAACCAAAGCCACGATTGAGCACCACAGATCTGAATAGTCTTGATCCATGTGCTAGGAAAAACATACGAGAAAGAAGACGAAAGTAGTTGGCGATTAGAAAGGATGAGAAACAAGATGGGAAGAAAAGGGGAAAAAGGGGAACTCCTATAGTTGACCTAAGGAGAGAACTTTACACTTTCAAGTTACAAACACTAAAATTGTGAAACTTTAGTGGCCCTCCAGATTTAGGATCATGATTCAAAAAAAACAAGAATTTAGCTGAAAAGTGTTTGTTTACTGTTTTTGTTTCGTGTTTTATGTCTTTGTTTTTAGTTTTTGTCAAAAAAACAAATAAAAACATGTTTGATAATTGTTTTTATTTTTTGTTTCAAATTAATTATCTGGCAAACAAGTTGAAAAAATGGGAAAAAAAATGTGTTCCAAGAAACAAAGGAAACACAAAACACACGGTTTTGAGAAGAAGAATTTTAATGGGATCTCAACTTCGACCCCTGTTAGCAACAAAAGACCACAACATGTGGTGATAGAATAAATATGATGCCTTGTGGTCGTTTTTTTTTCATTTTCGTTCTCACACCCTCTCTCCCAACGACTCTCTCTTCTCCTCTCACAGTCCTCTGTTTTGTCCCCTCTCTTTGTTGTTCGAACTATGTCTCAATTTTTTGTCTCCCTCCCTCATCTTTTTGCTCGCAAGTTTCAATGACCTTGCCCCCGCCATAACGCCAGCACCACCATCATCGAAGCCCTCTCCAGCGTTACTTCCACTATCAAAGCCCTAGCATCCATCGTACAGATCTCTCTCTCACACCCTCGAACGAATCAGCCCCCCTCTCTCTATTTCTCTCTCTCACAGTTGAACTCGATCGACTTCAAGCTCTCTCAGTCGAACTCGATCGACTCAGCCCCTCTCAGGTGAACTCGATCGAATCAGCCCCTCTCAGTCAAACTCAAACGGAGCAGCCTTGGCATTTAGGTTTTCGTTTTTGCTTAGCTTGAAGGTTGGATTGTACTATTTTTTGGTTTGAAATTAGTGTTAGTGTTTTCTGTTTGAAATTGAAATTGATTGTTATATGCCCATAAAGTATTCGATGAATTGCCAGAAAGAATGTATATTGTTTATGTTATACGCCATAAGCTTGCTAAAACTGTTCATGGGGCAGCAAAGTGGTCATGAAGGGTGGGTGTCTATTGTCACAGTCATTGAAGGTAAGTGAATTGAGCTTTTTACCCCATTGTGCTAAAGACAAGTCCCAATTTACATAGTTTGGTTGAGCTGATCCTCTCCCTCGAGCTTCCTGGTCCTGAAATCAAGGGCAAACAATAATGTAAAGAGGGATAAAAAAATGGTGCAAAAAAGGCCGAGCAAGAACACACAAAAAATGTGTGTTCTGCGACTGTGTGTGGTCTGTGAGTGTGTTTTGTGTGAGTGTCTGTGTGCTGTGTGTGTTTTGGTCCCTGTCTGTGTTTTGTGTGTTCTGTACGAGTGTGTGTTTTGTGGGACTGTGTTTTGTGTGGCCGTGTGTGTTTTGGTCCCCATCTGTGTGAGTGTGTGGTCTGTCTGTGTGTGTTCTGTGAGTGTGTGTGTTTTGTGTGACTGTGTGTGGTATGTGTGAGTTTGTGTATGTGTCTGTGTGTTAGACTTGTTTTCCTTGTCAACTTATATTTGTCAAAGGCTTCAAACAATGTTGGTAGCTAATAATTACAATTACAATTCAAACTTGTTTTCCCGTCAACTTACAATTACTAATTATCTTTGATGAATTAGTAGATGTTTTGGGTTAAGGAAATTTTAGATTTGTATTTTGTTGTATGAGATATTATAAAGTATATTTAAGATAAAACTTGAAGTAGTTACCAAACATGTTTTTTATTTATTCTCATAATGTGATAAACACAAATGACTCTCAAACATGTTTTCTATTTTAGTATTTATCACAAAATAGAGACAAAAATTGTCTCTGTTTTTTATTTTTTTGAAGACACGAAAACAAAAGCGTTACCAAACGACTCCTTAGATCCAACATACACTTCAAAACATGTTTTGTACCCATTATTATTAGCTGAAGATCCTATTCTGTAAATTCTGTAATGACTCATTGAGAAATGAACCACTGTTGGATTGTGTTAGAGAATAAGAAATGGGTTAGATATTAAGAAATGTTTTGTACAATGTTTGCTAAATTTTGAAAGCTGGTTGGCAGATTAATTGTGTTAGATTGATCTACATGCTAACAAGTAATTCTAATTGGACTTGATATGTTACCTAATCTGCAATAAACCTATGCCACTATTGTCATAGATGTTTTTTTCTCTACTTAAAATTTACAAGTTATTGAAAATTGAATGCATTGGATACATGTTTGATGATTTTAGATTTTTTGTTTGATGTAATATACATTAACCATGTTATTTTTATAATTAGTACAATTTTTTAGCCTATTTATTATCATTAATATTTATTTTTTTATTATATTACCGGTTCAACCAGGGACCCATTGACCCGGTCACTTTCCCGAGTTTATGTCCGGACCAGGTTTTAAAACTATGATGCCCATTAGCCCTAATTTCGGATAGTAGACATTGTGATGCCAAAGAGTGAAGGAGAGCAGCACTCTTAGATGATATTCTTGTCATGGAGTTCGATTTGGATCCTTTAGATGATATTCTGACTGGTGCTGTTACGAAGAACGGTATGTTCAACTTTCTTCTTTGTTGTCAATTTGTTGATTTTTGTGTTGCTCATGTATAACTGCTAATCAGTTCATGTTAAATTCTATTGCAGCTAGGGCTGGTGGCAAGTTTCAACCCAAGGCCAAACCCAGACCTAGAAAACTATCATCTTCTTCTGTTCCTTGTACACAATCTCTTAGTGTCGTTGAGAATGAATGTACTGAGACTCTCAGGGATGAAAATGAAGATTCTTTTTCAGGAGTTCATTTCTCAAAGGACATTAGAAGCTCTGAATTAGGGAACCCCTCATCAGAACATGTTGCAATTCCTGAGGGTGATGGAGACTGGCATTCTTATTCTTGCATTGAAAAATCAGCAGGAGAGGTGTGATTTGAAATATTTAACTCTTGTTTTGCTGGTTTATAATAGTGTGGGCACTAGGTTTAATAACTTATATTACTTTCAGAATGTAGACATTTTTCTTGGGTTGGAATCACTTGATGATTTGCTTTGTCGACCTGAAACTGTAATGGGTGAGTATGTTCTGTTTTAGTTTTAATATGATTTGAAATATATTGATATGAATCAGTAGGAGAGGTATGATTTGAAATATTTTACTTTTAATATGTTCTGTTTGTAAGATTTTGCACACCTTGCTTCATGTAAGAGTATTCTATGGGCAGTGAATGCTGGACGTAGGTCTTCTCCTGAGGTTGACATGAGTGCCCAATTGGGGAACCATTACTCTGCTGCTTCATGTTCTGTAAGTACTATTGCAGAACATACTCTTCCTCATTCAGAGCCATCAAATGGCCGTGTTTCCGATATGAGGAATGCAGAAGGAGGACTAGGTACTCCAGTGGTTTATCCTGTCAATGACACGGCGGGGAACTTTGATAATGCCCCTGCTCCCACATGTACTCAGCTTCCTGCAGCTCAATATAGTTTGACCTGCAGGGACACTCCTGTTTCTAATTGTGATGGAGATTTTCATATCGATAATACATGGTTGGAAACAGAGGTGAATACCTACCTGCATTCTTTGTTCATCCTTTACATATACTAGTTTTTACTGTGTGAAATTTTTATTATGGAGTGCTTTTGTTTCAACTTTGGCTAGGTTCAGGAAGCAGACATTTTTCCTGGCTTGGAAACACCAGGTGTTATCTCTGAGATGACCAATAGATCCGGTATATGCAAAATTCAGCTGCGTGCTTCATTTTTTACTTTATATTTTCTTATGCTTCACCATTCTGAGCTCTTTACCTAGTCATTTTGGATTCAGGACGGCGGACTGGCAAATACCAACCCAAGCCCAAGCCACAAATTCCTATAAAGAAACATGCTGCTAGCATTCCTAGTGAAGAACCGGTCCAGTCTGTTTCGTGTCCTGTGGATGGGGGCTCAGCGCCATTATTGCAACCTTATGATGCTATTGATTTATCATCTGTTGGATTCAGCGATTCTATTCCCCTTGATCCTACATTTGAGCTCCCTGTGAATGAAGAAATGGCACATTGTACAGAGATTTCTCATTCAAGGGATGCCATCCATGGAGAACAATCGGATAGTGTTTCTGAATTGCCTAGAAAGGTGAGAAAACATTCAGGGCCTGTTTGGTTTGCGTTTCAAAAACTATTATCTGAAAACAGTTTTTGATAAGAGTTTTAAGAAAATGGTTTTGATATTTTTTTAGATAAAAAACTTGTTTGGTTAGATGATTTCAAAAAAAAATTTTATAATACAGAAAATAGTAAAATCTGTTTGGACAGCCTAAATATATATTTGAACAGTAATTCAAACATTAATAAAAAAATATAAAAAATTTATTTTTATATTGACAATTTATTTTTATTATATATTATAATATATATTATATATTATGAGAGAGAGGAAGAAGTAAAAAAAAAGGAATGAAGAAATTTGCTGCTAAGGAGACTCGAACGGCAGACCTCGTTAAAGTCCAAAATTATTCTCCTTGTTTTCAAAATTTTTAAAGAATACTCTGAAAACAAGTTAAACTTGTTTTCTGTTTCTTTGACTCAAATCTCATTTTTTCTCAAAATTTTGAAAACAAAAATGCTAAACAAACAGGTTTTGGGTGTTTTTGAAATTTTGAGAACAAAAAACAGTTTCCGGAAAGCTAACCAAACATGGCCTCAATTTCTGAAGTTTCTTGTGTATTTATATTTTGAAATGAATACAGTTACCCTATTCAGTCTGATAGGATACTTTTACTTTTCATCCTTATCTTTTTTTCTTTCTTCTGTATACATTATATATCACATAAGTTAGGCTTTTCGGAGAGCTGAAAGTGGAAAGACAAAAGCTCCTACAGTACCAGGTCATTCTCCAAAACACCAAAAAGCATCTACTTTGGGTCAGGAAGGTGAAGCTGGTAAATCAATTCGGCAGAGGAGAAAGCGGATAAATGCATTTGAACTTATAGACGAGCCTGAGGACGAGGCCCTTGACGATGTGGAGTTTGCAGCTGGAGATCTTGCTGGTTCTGTTATAAATGAGAATGATGATGATGATGAATATCAAAAGGAAAATGAATCCCAAAATAAAAAAGTGCGGAGAAAGTCCAAGAAAAATGTTTCTGAGACAGAAAAACCATCTCAAAAGCGTAAGATGGATGGTGAAGAGTCAGATAAGTCAGCTAAAGAGCCTCGTAAAAAGTTCTCTCATTCTACTAGGAGAAGTAGAAGACGAGGTAACTCCGATTTCTGGATATGAAAGTTGTGAGGCATATGGAATCATGGATTCCCTCAATTTTTTTGTTGACCAAATACCTTTGTATTTTGTAGTGGACAAGGTTTTACTTGAAACCCCAGAGGATGAGATTGACTTCCAAAAGTTGCCTATAAGGGATCTTATTCTTCTCGCCGAATATAAGGAACGGACATCAGTATGTATTATTCCTGAATTTTTTGTTTATTTTGTTTTTAATTGTGATATGTTTAACTAGCAGATACCCTGATTGATTCTTCTTGGTGGATATAGGCCGCATGTTCCTCATTGCTTCAGATATTTTCATGGTAGTTTCTAGTTTTTGTTCTTTACAACATATCTGATCTTCTTCTTTGCCACAATTTTTTTTTCATTTCGCAGAACAAAGAGGCAACTACATCAGAAACACCCTTAATGAATCAGAGGTATTCAGTGCCGCAAAAGGATCTATTTCCAAATTATGTTTGATTTGCACTATATATTTTCTTCATTTCTCTCTCTGCATGGAATCATTCAATTTAATTTATGCCATTTCAAACTGGAAAACTTATTTATGCCACCTGATAGCAGAATGTTTAATTCTAGCTCAGTCACATGGAAATGTTTTATCACTGTGTTGTAGAGGGTAAAACAGGGATGGTAATTATTCTGTAATTTTTAAATTTATGTCTGCTTCTAAATGCCTGGGCTAAGCCAGCTTCCTTGACATGTTCTCCTAATTATCTCTTCTTGACTTTGTCAAATTTCTTGCAAAACTTATGCATGAGAGAGGCATATTTTCCGTTTCCAGAGACTGACGTCACTTGGAAAAGTTGCATTGATAGATAAACATATGATGTGGCAAATGGATATACAGTTAGATGAAACTACTGCAAGTAGTATTCCTAGAGAGAATACCATTGCAGGGATACTAGATATAGTATGCATGAATTCTAAGTTCCTGTCATAGACTTTATTGTTTTGGTGGACATTTGCAGTCTGGCACTGAGTCCAGTCTGCTCCATGTTAATGAGTAGCATGGATCTGTGCATGTGTCTATGCATATGTGCATGCACCAGTGAGCTTGTTTGTATGCTGTTGTGTTGCATTAATTGCATAACACGGATTTGACTATAAAATGGTCTGTTGTCCCAATGCTTATTCGTCATTTTATTAAGGTTCTCTTTTCTGTTCTTAACATTCAATAATTTTTTTCGTACAACAGTTGGACAGGCACTCTTTCGATGGTCACAAAACAGTTCATTCTACTGCTGAGGATTACTTAATACAAACTGTTTAAAACTGAGAACACTAATTTCTTTTATAATTGAAGAAAGGAAAACAAATAGAAAGGAATGTGTGTTTGGTGATACCAGATACTCGTCTGAGCTGCATATTGTCTACAACGAGTGAAGGATGATTGTTGGGTGATTCCAATATATTATTTCAAAGTTGTTTCCTAGAATCTAATTAAATACTCTCTGATGGAGTCCATTTACAGATATGTTGATCAGAGAAGCTATCAACGGGCAGTGAATTTTTGCCTTGACCCTACATATTATCCTCCCCTAGGATAATAAAATGAGTATATCAAGATCAAAAGCCACTGTCATTTGCTTTATAGCCTAAGTGAAATATGAATAATTGTTGGTTAGTGGTGAACAATTCGTAAACATAATATTGTTTCAATATTGAAGCAAGGAGTCATCATGAGTCTAGAAGTTCGTATGAGGGAAGGAGTCATGGTGATAGTGTAGAAATGCTGGTGACGGCACACTTACTGGGGGGGCAATAGGTTGTGTTCTTATTAAGAGTGCACACATGTAGGTGGGATGCTGGCGAGAAAGTGTGTTGTGAATTGTAGTTACAATAGTGGCAACAACCATAACAGTATTTTTTATATCGATACTACCATTATAAGCATTACTGTCGTGCAATTTAAGGCCAGCTTTAATTGTGCCCTTCAAATTCAAGTTCTTACAGATTTTTTTCTTTTCATTTTGTGTCAATGGGATAACAATTACTGGATTACAGTGAACACATATAAATGTGAGTCAATAAAAAACTAAAGACTTATACAGCAATAATGTTATTATTAACTGTAAGAATAATTCATTAAACAAAACACATATTTTAAAATTTTGAGACAATCAATATGTTTTCTCCAACGAATTGTGTACTTTCTAAGCTCTTGGAATTCTTGTACTGTGTCTAAATGCATATAGCCTCTTTTGTTGTGACTTTAAATATCAAAAACATGTGTTAGTTGTGACTTATTGCTTGTCTTCTACTAGGTACACTTGCTTTTTTTTTGGGACCGTGTGTTGATGATATGTTTAGCGGAATCTTACCTTGTTTACGTTACTTTCTGACTATATTTCGTGGTGTGCAGTTCTGGTCAGTTGAACTATGAACAAGAAAATCCAACGGCTCAAGAAAGTTCTGCCTACTTTAATTATCAGTCTTATATGGATAAGACACCCATTGCAAGGTGGTCCAAACAAGATACAGAATTGTTCTACGAGGTATATCTTCTTGTAGTTTCCCATTCATTTACATGTAGTAATTGATGTAGGGAGCAAAAATTTCTGCGTCTATGGGTCATAGAGCCAACAATTTCTGAAGGTAATAGGGTAATTCCATTGTATTAGTTATTTATGTTTGCATTATTAGATGATCTGGCCAAGCCACCATTATGTTGAGTAGATTTTAAATTGAGGGAGAGTGCCAAATAGTTCCCTGTTTTATCTAATAGTTATGGCATGCTAATTCACATTGTAAAGTATGCACAAAGATGGATATATTTCCAAATAGACTCGTGCATTAATTCTTAGCATAGTTCAACAAGATATCTATAGATTTTGGTGTGGGATTTTGCTTCCTTTCATTGTTTGGGAGACTGACATGAAAATCTATGTAAACTAGTATGTGACTTCTGATTAGGCTTCCCTAGAATCCCCTGATGATACTTAGTTTCTTGAAGGGGCTTCTATCTGTAATACCATAAATTCTAATAGGCCATTTTATTTTTAAAAAAAATCATTGAGAAAAACAAGGTGGGTAAGTGACCACCTTAACAAGACAAGGGAGCATGTAATAGAATAGATTATCAGTTATCTTACGAACAATGAAGAAATGGCATGGCCCCTGTCCTCTAGGACCCTCTTCTAATTCACAAACTAGTTACATCGGAATGCCTTGTTGCCTGGGTCTGGTGCTTTAAAGGGTATGTCTACCTTTTCCAATTCTTAATGGTTGGTAACGAACTGCATTATTCTTTTAATTGGTGGGGTCTTGGGAAAGAAATAGGTAAAAAAGGAAAATATGTGTTGTGCATCCTGAGAGATGTTAATTGGATGTTTGGGTATTGAAAATAAATCAACTAGTCATTCAAGCAGCTTGCTATGATATTGAGAAAAGGCAACAGTGATGTGATAGCCTGATAAGCCTTTTTCACTTTTATAGATTGTTATAGATTTAATAGGGTAAATTGAGAATTGAATAATTGTAAATTCAAAGAATGAAAAGAAGGAGAGAGGAAGAAAGAGTTTACGAAACGATATTGTGAGTAGGATGTGTTGCCAACATCCAATTACCTATTTATATTTAATTGAAATGAAGACAATTACAATTCTAGGAAAATAGAATATGATAGAAAAGTAGAACAATTGGAAGTAACATAAAAGGGAAGTATAACGAAATAAAAGTAACTCTAATACTCTCTTTCAAGCTGGAGTATTGAGATAAAAAATGCATAGCTTGAAACCTATGAAGCACATAATCAGATACAGAATACGGGTGCGGTACGATACGAATGTGGCGATACGACAAAATATAAAAAAGTAGGATACGGATACAATCTGGATACGTTTATAATAAAATATATTTCATAATTTTACTATTATCTAGTGATTTAATAATTATATATTTTGGTAATTCTTTAGCATAATAAGGAAAATAAGCAATTTTTATTAGTTTCAAAAAAGTATATATCATATCATCATATAACAATGAAGTGACAAATTAAATGAATTAAAACCAATATTTACTTAGTTGGTTTGTTTAGAATTATTTGTAGATAAGATTATATTACAATATATTTATTTTATGTTATTTTGACATGTAATAATAGATATTACTTGAAAAATAGTCACGTGTCTTCAATGTAGTAGGAACTTTTGTTGATGTATTATTGTATGTTATGTGAATATAAAAAGAGATGTTAAAGTTTAGATTCAAAAATTATTAATGTTCTTGCTCGAATACAAAAGTATTCGTAAAGTATCCAAATATTTATTATTATTGGATACCTAGGAGGTGTATCTTAACACGTATCCTTGAGTGTCGTATCCGATATGAATACGACGACCTCAACGAAATATCCTTGATTCATTGCTTGGAACAAAGACTACTAAAAGTTGAATGCGCTAATTGTTTGATAAGAAGATCATCGAGGTGATCACTAGACTTACAAATGGGGTCGTAATATCTCCACGTGAACTATTAAGTATAATAGAAGCAAAACACGCTCTAGGTAATTGCTTAAGAGCATACATAGACTCTTTTTAATTGACACACACTACCACGATACTGAACTTGATAAACTAATCCAAGTAGTTGATTAATGTGAAGTGTAAGACATGAGTTGATCATATATATTTGATCGATATAGTGATCTACTCTAGGTTGGTGACCAACTAATACTCGTGGAAGACAAATAGTAGAGAGATGAAGAGTTACAAAAAACCTAGCCCTCCTGAACATCATGACAGAGACCAGTGATAAATAGGGATTGCAATTCTGACAATCAACACGATGATGACAAAGGACAAACACAACACCATCATCAACAGCAATAGTGACAAATAAATAGGACCAACAATGCTACAGCGAACAAGTAAGGACAAATTCAACCTGCAACAATAAAAAATAGGGTAAACTCTAAGCAGAATTGGAGTTGAATTATCCAAAAAAGAGCTGAGCCAGTTATGAAACCACAAAATTAGTATTGAATCGGGTTGAAAACACTGAAATTGGCACTAAACCAGGCTGAAAATCATTGAACCAACACTAGGCTGGTTTGAAAACAATTAGCTGACACTAATCAGAGTTGAAAACACTAAACCAAAACCAAATAAGGTTGAAAATCACTAAATATGCATCAAACTAGCTCGAAAACCATTAGACCTGCAGTAAACTAGGCTAGAAACTCCAATTCGCAACGATGTATCATACATTGGCGACACGAACAGGGATTTCAGCATCCCACAACTACTAATACTGATCACAGTAGGCAATGAACAATGGATGAAGACACTACTAATAGAAAACATCTAGTTAGAGTGATTTTGACGATGACATCTGGCGAACACGGAGATGACCACAACTCGATGTATGCAGGGTCGACTCAACCATTCGGCAAGTGAGACACTCGGCTAGGGTTCCAACTTGCCTTGGCCCCACTCACCCAAGCATCTTGATACTAAGTTGAAGCTTAAATAATTGTATGTTAGAGTTTAGTAAAAAGGGAACAAAAAAAAAAAAAAAAGAATGAATGAATGAAAGGAGAAGAAAGAGATTATGAAATAGTATTATGTGTAGAACATGTGTTGCCAACATCATATTGCCTATTTATATTAGATTGATACTGAAGATAATTACAATATTCAAAAGTAGGGCATAATAGGAAAGTGACATAATAGGAAGTAGAAAAATAGAAGTAGAACAATAGCACAATAATACTTTAATAGTGTAATGATGCTAGTGTTAAATGCATGGCCAGTCATTTTGGTTTCGGTTGAAGATGATGTGTAATTAAATTAAGAAAAAAATGGACAAGTGTTCTGTTGCTTTCCGTTTGATATTAACCACGTAGCTGAAAGGATCCCTCTCTTTCCTTTTCTGCATTGGTTTTTTAATTTTTGCTATTTGTGTGGCCTCCTTGTCTGGCAAATTGAAATTAGATCTTGTTTCATTATCTTCTATTCTGCCTGGCAGATGAAGAGGGAAATAACAATAAACTCCTGGGGTCTTTCATCTGCCATTTTATTCATGTAAACAAAAAGCACTGTAGGATCATCAAGGGAACTGAGGCTGCCTACAATTTAGTATTGGTGCCTAAGGTTAAAATTTTTATGGTTTATAGATGAGAAGGTAAGATTAAGGTTTGGGGAATGGAAGAAATGTTAAAATGCTCAAGTTTTGAGTATAAAAAAAGCTTTGCTGGGAATTCTGGTCAGCAAGGATTCAAGGGTGTCTTATAACTAGGATTGGCTTTAAGGGTCACAGAGTTTGAGTTTCTGGGAATGAAATTGGTAAAGGCTGGAAGAATCTGGCATCCAACATTCCCACCGTAAATAAAATAATGGAGTCTCATAACTAAAATCTGCTAAACATTTTCTCGATCAATTGATTGTATTGTCTGTACAAAGCTTGGTTGTATAGAGGAAAGGGTGAATGCCACTTTACATCCCGAAAGATCTTTAAATTCTCAATTTACACCCTAAAAGATTAAAATTTTTAGATTGCATCCTCAATAAGAGGCAGCAATGTTGCCCAAATCAACAGTTCAGTTGCTTTATCTGTCAATTTTTTGGGTGGTAGACTTTATAGGTTTTCATTTCTATGCTCAATTATTTGTATATCACTCAATTTTAAGTATTTATATCAAAATTTCCTACTCAATTTAATAAAAGAGGAAGTCAACTGTATATCTCTTGTCTTTTTTATGTGATTAAAGGTGCAATTTGAAAGTTTTAATCTTTTAGTGCATAAATTGATAATTTAAAAATCATTTGGGGTGCAAATTGTCATTCACCCGAGTAGAAAAGAAAATTTTCTCCTGAAATGAGGATTTTCTTAATCCTTGAAGACAAAGGATTCCTGTTAGTTCATTGGGCGATCTATGACTTCTACTCTCCTCCTTCTAGAATACACTTTTGCAGGGGCTTATTCAAATAAAAAAAGTGTGCCTGGTTTTTGGATATCATGGTTTGGATTCTATCATTAAGTTGTTTAGCAAATTACAGTATACTGCACTATCCCCTCTACAATTTAATGCTTAAGGTTTATAACTAAGTTTTATAAATTTGAAAGTAGTCTTTTAGCAATGAAGTTGCTCACTGCTGACTAATAATGTGAGAAAACCACAATTAGAATGGAAAAAAGTGTTATCCTGTAACGCCATACTGTCTTGGTGCTGAATGTTATATAGTTTCTACTTAGATGTGGAAAATAAGTGCCATGTGGCATCACTATCATTTTAAAGTCCAAGATTGGGTGGTCAAGAAAAAGGGGAACCATTGGGCAAGTTGAGTCCAGTCCACTTGTGAAACTCCCAATTTGGTTACTTGATTTGTGGGTTTCAATGGAATTTGTTTTTTTTTTTTGATTTAGTTAATTTTGCAGTTATAATAAAAGCAGCAACCAGATCCAAAGGTCGACTGAATTTCAAGGCTTGTCTGTCCTTCATTTTCTTGAAACCCACACAGCCTAATGCTCCATTTTCGTTTGGTAGGAGCAGTGTTTTGAAAAGCTCGCCTAGGCGAGAAGCGAGGCGAGGCGAGCTTATCTCGCCTGGAGGACCCCAGGCGAAGCGAACGTGAGTGAAGCGAGAAAAAAGCTAGAAAAAGCGAAAAAGCGAAGAAGCGAAAAAAGCGAAAAAGCGAACGCTTTATTATAAAAAGCGATTCTGCTTCACTTTTTTTTTTTTTTTTTTTTTTTTGATTACAGGTTAGTAGTCTCTTTTATTTTGTAATCACTATGACTTTTTTTTTAGACTATTGCTGGTCTATTTTTTTTTTTTCTAATAAACAATGTTTCGAACAAAACACATTCCTTTTTTTTCCTTGTGTTGCTGAATTCATTTAGAATATTTGTGGGATGTGGGAGTCAGGTGACTACACTGCATGACAATTATGATAAAAAAATAAAGCAGGAGTATCAGAAATGAAGGTAAATAATAAATTCTTCTACAAAGAAGTGTCTCTGATATGTCTTGGTTATACTTTTCTCTTTTCTTATATATATACAAATGGTACCAAAAAGTGGTCTATGCTTATACCATGTTTAATTATTTTAGTACATGTGAAATGTGCCTCTGTTCTGCTTTTTTTTATTCAGTATATAATTACATATGAAATTGTTTACAATTGATTCTATTCCTGTCATGATCATTGTGCTTCTGTTTTTTTTTTAGCTCATTCTGCTTCTATTTTTTTTTGTTGATTCTGTTGCTGCTTCGATTTTGCTGTCCTGTGTTGCTTTTGTTTTTTTTTTAATTGTCATTCTGCTTCTTTTTTTTTTGTTGCTAATTCTGTTGTTGTCCTGATTCTGCTTCTTTTGTTGTCCTACCCTGTCAATATGAAAATGTATACAATTGTTAGTATTTGTTTGAATTTAAATGTTTAAATTATGACTGTTATTAAGATTTGAGATATTATTAGTGTTTTTTTTAATTTAAATGTTTATGGTTTTACTTGCATTTAAATATTTAGTATATATAAAATTAGAACTTAGATTGTTTAGAAGTAATTAAACTAAAATATATATTTTTTTTAACTGTTCGCTTTGCTTCGGTAAAGCGTGTCGCTTCGCTTCTCGCTTCTCGCCTAGGCGTTAGGAGCCTTGGTCGCTTCGGTTCGCTTTACGCCTTAAATAACACTGGGTAGGAGGGAAGAATAGACAGAAGGAATGGGAAGCATTGTAATTTTCTTCTTTTTGTGGGGAAAAAGGGGACAGGGAAGGATGAGAGAAGGGATGCATTGTCTCCCTGGGTCAAAGATATCCTTTTCTCTTAAAGTGGGAGGAAAGGATGAGACAAGTAGAGTTTATCCTTTATCTTTTGTCCCCTCAAACAAAACTATTTTTCATATACAGGTAAAATGATGAAATTTATGTAAACATGTCTTCCCTTTCTTCTTCCCCTTTTACTCAGCTAAACACAAGGAAAAGTGGCTTCCTTTCCCTATGGTGGCCTTTTCATCCCTCCAACTAATAGAGGCTAGTGAACGTGTCATACAAGGATTTACAGGCGGCATGGCAAGGATGCTTTCAAGACCCAAGCCATAATTTGACATGTGTTGGATAGTGCAGGCCCAACTTGGGCCCTTGCACAAGTTAGTCTTGAGTCCTTCATAGAAGTGGTCCATTTGTCTTACTATGGGTCTTGTTATGATTTTCAGTCACATTAGTTGGTTTAGTAGAGTTGCTAGGCAAGTTGTTTCGGTTTTTAAATTGGAATTGTAGTCCTTGTTGGAATAGATCTCTTAGTGACAAGCAATCTTTTTAGATTGAGTTGGTAGGGCTTTGTTGTTTGCAAGAACAAAATTTTGTTTCAGTCACTTAGGAAATGAAAACGTTCTGAAATTTTTCAAAAACATTTTGGGAAATACAATGGAAATGGAGAAAAAAATTAGAAATTTTTTTCTGAAATACTGGTCAAGACACCTCAAAACACCTTGTAAAATAGGAATTCCGATATCCATTCATTAATCTGTTTCAGCTGTTTTGATCATTTTGTTACGAAATTTCGATCCTTTGTTGGGTGGCCTAATGATGTATTTCATCCATATTTTGTATGGATTGCAAAGGTTTGAGTGTTGTAAGGGGTGTTACATTTGGAATTATTTGGATTATTTAGTTGGAAAGATCTAGAATTTTTAAAGATAAAGAAGTAATGGAATAGTCGTGGGCTCAGATTTATTTCTTAACTTCTTTTTTGCTTTGGTGACTAAGAAAGTTGAGAACCTCCTTGTTGTTTGTATTATGATGACTTGGATAGTATCATGTGGAGGACAGGACGGGTTTTGGAGGATGCTCTACTGTTTTCTGATTTTTCCTGTTTTTTGAATGTAATAGGGTACTGTTCAAAAAAAAAATGTAATAGGTTTGGGCCACATGTCCACCTTTGTTGAAGTCTGCCCTTTTTTTTTTTTTTTATGACTTGTCCACCTTTGCTGAAGTCTACTTTAAATATCAATGAAAATTTGTTTCTTATCAAAAAAGGAATAAGGGAGATCAGTTTTAGAGAAAATTTTCATAGATTGTGAAGCCTCTTTCAACCAAACTCTAGTCCACCCTTTTTCTTGACTAAGCGTAAGCCAAATAGCTTATATTTTGTACCAAAACTTGGTCGAGCTGCATCACCTACTTGTCTTTCCGTCTGACTTTCCGTGTGTCCTGCCAAACAGGTCATAAATTCACTCCTTGGTTCTCTGGACGATACAACAATGTTAAAGAATACTATAATACTGCAAAGTGATCGGACAAAGAAACTCCAATAAGCAATTGGCTAAATTTCCTGATGCCTCATTTGAATGGGTTTTCAATTAAATCATTTCATTAGTTGTGCACTAGATCATGTAGGCTATCATGTTTTCCCCTCCACACATTGTTCTTGTACAGTTTTGGCTGATAAAGCTGGTTAAAACCTTAGGCTGTGCGGCAGTTTGGGTCTGATCTATCAATGATACAACAACTTTTCCCTGGTCGGACACGAAGGCAAGTTAAATTGAAATATAAAAAAGAAGAGCGGCAGCAGCGATTGCGGCTTCATGAAGCCCTGGCTAATCGTGCCAAAGGTGAACTTCTGTACTTTTGGTATCTCCCATCTTTTTATCCTTGTGATTTTTTATTTTATATCTCAGCAACATCTTTGTGTGTAATATACAACTGTTCAATTCATCAGGGAAAGCAAAGATATTTGCCAGTGTCATGCATGAATATTTTCATGTTTTTACTCAAAAGATGATAATTAGGTTGACATCTAATTGTAGCAAGACATTTAATGGTATACAATTCTGAATATGGTCACCTAGATTTTTCCATGCTAAGCTGATAAATGATGAGAGCTCATATCTGGAGTAAGGTTTTAAAAGTGAAGAACCAAACACCATAAACTTTATAGGTTTGGGGCAGTGTGACTCATTCTTCAAGTGAATGACAATATAGTATTTAGTCCATGAAAAAACTGTCCAATATAGTATTTAATATTCTGTTGCTGGGATGGTAATTGCAGTTTCTAAAGGTGGGAAGGGTGCACTCCGTTAATCCCAACATTCGATTTTCTTTGTCGGATTGCAATCTTTGATTCGGACTGTGAAACCCAATTAGAATGAATGTTGGTATTACGCTTGCATCGTCTGACTTGTACTAGAAGCTTATTTGTAATGCTTATTACTAAAGAGTAGTTATCATTAATGGGGGTTTGGGAGGGGCAGATTGGACACACCTGTAACATTTAAAATTATTTACATAGTGTGGTTGTCTTTCGGTTCAAACCCTCAAGCTCAAGGTTATTGGGCCTCATCAAAGGGACACTGTCAAATACTCCACCTTGCATGCTTGGGAGTATTAACCACTAAAAAACTGTTCAATATGGTTCTTGGTAGGTCATTCCAGAGAAGGTTTCAGTGTACATTTGACCAGCAGTATACACGTGTTTAACTAAAGCATGTGTCTTATATTCTGGATTTAGCATGTGATAGCCAATTGGAAGCTTCAGTGGACATTATGGTGAGTGGGTTTGCCTGAAAATTGTGCATGATAAGTTGGCATTTTCTTGTAGATCATACCCATTTTAAAATTGTGATTGAGCGGCTTCAAGAAATTGCTGCTGAGGAAAAGCATAACTCCAACTTGGATGATTCAGTTGACTTGGCAGACGAGGATCCAGCAGAGACGGCAACTCCTGAAACCAATGTATGGCTCTTTGGTTTTTGTAATTTTGTTTGGAGTGCAATATGCCAGCATTTGGTTCGAGATTGTGTAGGAAGATCATCAATCTGAATATCTAGTGTGCAAAGTCCTGTGATGTTTATAATAGCTTTCCTGTGTGTTTAAGGCAATCAATTTTGCTCCTTTACTGCTGTATTGTTTGCCCTCAATTAAGACCACCAGATGAGTACACATTGAAGACTAGATATAATATATAGGGTAATAAACGATTTTATGGACCATCTAATCAAACGCTTAACTTTTTTCCAGAATTGCATATGTAAACAGCAGGCCACAAAATGTACAAAAATATTATCTCCCATTTGTGATCCATCATTGAATTTTCTCTACAATCTGTATGCTCTTTTCAACGAATTCAATTTATGGACAGCTCTTACCATGAATAAGTAGAATCTGGTAGTGACTGTGTTTATGAAAATCTAGTTAAGCTGATCTATGCGTATGTTGTGTGTAAAATGTGTCTGCGGCAATTTCGCTCTCCTAGACTTCTTAAGGATATACTAGGTTCTTTGTCAGTGTGCTTCTAGCATGCAATATCCTTCTTTAGTTTAAGCTTCATAGTTATTTTCGTGACTATTGGTGGACTGATTCTCACTTTTGCATTGTATTGATTTGTGCAGGAAGAAGTTACAAAATATGAACAGACTGAGGAAGGAGAAATTGAGATTATGGAAACAGATGTTCCTGAGGTTCATAGTCCTGTAAAATCTGACAATAGTGAAGATGACTGTTACAGATGGAGTCAATATAAAAGTGAACTGTAAATATCAAAGGCAAAGAACACCGACTCTTGCTGGTTCTATTCGTTATTGATATATCATTGTTTTGTTTTGCTTTGCAGTTCAATAAGCTTATAAAAGAAATTGATGGTTTGCTTCGACTTTAGTCTATTGATGGTGTGAGCGAGCCTAACTTGCAACTCTTTCACTTACTCCAGCATGCCTGCGTTATACACCCACATAAAACCCATGCCTTAATGCTGTTAATCATTGAGTTTTTTGGGTGAGTATGTTTTTTTAGACTTATTTGAGAGGAAGTGTATGAATAAGTATTTTACTCTATTAAATTCAATTTTAATAAAATATCTTGTAATTAGGTACAAAATTCAAATAACATTTGAACTTGTCTAATAATCATTCCTTAAATTATACATAATTTTTATTTTTTAACTCTCTCCCTCTCTCTTTCCTTCTTGCACTCTATCTTCCTATTTTTCCTCTATCTCTTCCTTTTTTATTCTCTCACATTAATAATTATTTTTTAAAATATATAAATATTTAATTTAATTTTTTTATCTCACTCTTTCCTTATTTCCTCTCACTATTACTATCACTCTTTATTCTCACTTTTTTTATATCAATGTTACAAAAATATAATTGCATCAGTCAATTACACCAATAAATTATAATTGTTTTATAATATATTAAATAGTTACTTATATGTTTTGATAAATCAAACTGATAAATAATTTAGTATCATGGTATGGTTATATCAATTATATACATCAAATTGATGTAATGGTAAACTCTTTTGTGTAATGATATACTGGTTTGGTGAATATAATTGGTATAACCATGTAGTGATATTAAATGGTGTAACTCTTTAGTTTATGTAAACGACTGAATGACAAATTGAGTTTGTAATGTAATTCATGTAATTGTTTGTTGTAACTATTTAGTATAACTGTTTAATTTATTAAAATATATAAGTAACTGTTTAGTGTATTATATGTTAATTGTAATTAATTAGTATAATTATTTTGTTGTAATGTTGATATAAGGAGAGAAAGAATAAGGAGGGTAAGGGTGAGAGAAAATTGTGGGTAGAGAGAATGAGTGACAAAGAGATGAAAAAATCAAATTAAATTTTTATATATTTGAAAATAAAATAAATTATCAATTGTGAAGAAAGAGTAACGGAGATAGATGGAGAGAAAATAGGGAAGAGAGTAATGGAGTAATAAATGTTCTTTTTTCAAAAAAAATGCACTTAAGGTCAAATAAGTTTCTTTAATATAATTTAGCTTAATTAAATCCAAATTTATATTGAATTCCAAACTTCCTTTAATTATTTGGATGGTCCAGAGGGAGTACATAAGCTATATATTAAGGAACTATTAAACTAATGGGTTTCACTAGAATTTAATGTAAGTTTGTGGTACATCACATTTGGTGCAAAAAAAAATTGTGCACTCTGTTTTACTCTTTTAAAAATCAGAAATGTTATGCACACCAACTTTCTTGCACCACATAAATATAAACTATTGGTTAATAAGTTCCACTAATTTTGTTTTAAACATTCAATAAATAATATTGTCACATTATTTGTTGCACAAATTTGATAGACACAATTTTAACTCTTTTACACTCAATAATGTTACACAAACAAAAATTTTTACTAATTTTTTTTGCACAGTTAATGTTAACGATTAGATGAGTGGGTTCTAGTAACTTTTATTAAACATTCAATGAGTAAAATTGTGTCACATCATTTGGCACAAAAAAAATTGGTGACATAGATTTACGCTTTCAATTCTGTAATGCTACACATACCAAAAATTTTTGCACCACGTCATTGCAAACTTCAGATTAATGAGTCTCATTAGCTTTTCATTAAAAGTTCAATATAGAAGATTGTACCGCATCATTTGGTGCAAACTTTTAGATACACAAATTTGGAAAACAAAAGGTTACTCTTTCAAATATATTCTGCAAAATTTATAGCACTAAATCAATATAAACTATCAAATTAATAGGTGTCATTAACTTTTATTATATTATATATTAAATAAAAAAATGTGTCAAAAAATTTGATGCAAAAATTTTAGTACACAAAGCTTTACACTTTAAAATCTAGTAATGTTACACAAACCAATCATTCTAAATTTCTTGGACTACATCAAGGTAAATTGTTGAATTTATAAGTCCCACTAGCTTTCATTAAATATTAAATGAATAAAATTGTGATACATCATTTGATGAAAAAAAATGGGTGTGCAAATTTTGGGGACACAATTTCTCTTTCAAATTCGGAAATGCTACACAAATAAAATTCTTCACCAAATTTTTTGCACCAAATCAATGTAAAATAGTTGGATTAATGAGACTACTAATTTCTACTAACCATCCAATAAATAAGATTATGTTACATTATTTGGCGCACACATATTTACACTTTCAAATTCACTAATACAACATGTGATGACCCATATATATATAAATTATTAACACATTAATTAGGTCATTAATTTTGATTCTATATTTATTTAATTCATTACTTTGCCCTATTCCTGCATTTATTCGCGGTTTTAATTATATTATGCATTGTTTTAAAACTTTGGTAGTCATTGATAAACGTTATCCTACTGAGCTAGTGAGCTCATCCCTATTTAATATTTTTCAGATATATGAAGTCAAGCTGGAGTATAGGTTGAAAGGATAGAGTCTGCTATTATTATTTCTCTTTATGTTGTGTCAAAAATATTTGAAATGATCTTGTGAGGATTATGTACTCGTACGTAAACTAAAATAATATAAGGAAGATTAATGTAAGTTTGGTGTAATTTTTATTCCTTACTCACACCCGGGTATTTTTTTTTAAAAAAAGAAAAGAAATTTCGAGGTGTAATAGAGTGGTATCAGATCCTGGAATTAGATCTTACATGAGAATTATATATATAAACTAAATAATGGGATTAATGTACTAATACTGAACATATTTTATGGACATATTATTTTTTTTTTATCAACAGAACTAACTTTTTATGACTATAGGTATGACATCTTGGGATGATCTTTACATGGCTCATAGTAACATGGGCTCCGAGGCGGTTAGTGAATACCGGACCATTGGAGTTAATATAGAGGCCTACAATCTGATAGTCCACGAAATTCAAGATGTGTCCCAAAATTGGTCATTCATGCCGATCTCTGAACAGAAAAAGTTAGTACATCACAGACTGACCACGCAACTAAGGGTGCTCCGCCAAGCACTAAGTATTGAAAGGAATCCCAACCTGTACCAGGAAATTTTGAATGAATTGCCAGTATAAGACATTCAGTGGGCAGCTGCAGGGGCATCCAATAAAATCCCCTAGCTTGGATAATAATGAAGAATATGACCCACAACCTCACAACCCCAACGTAGCCCCTGTAGCCGCACCACCTGAAGCAAACCATCCTACAAATTCTGCGGGTTCTGCGAACTAATATGTCTCCAGGGGGGAGGGACATGGAACTTCTTGGTCCCTAACTGTACTGTCGGCTTTACTATTCTAAGAAATTTTGCTTGTAAATAATAGTAACTCTTAGAATGGTAGGAATATATGTATCACTACATAACTTAGAGGTGACTGTCCTAGACTTTTGTTCTCCATGTGAATAGCATCTAGGATAAGAAAACGAAATGTATCTTAGTTACTAATTATGTGAAATTAGAGTTGTTTTCTTAACCTTTGGATGTGGTTATAGTTTTTAATGCAGACATAATATCATAAACTATGTGTTATAGGATGGAGGGAAACACATCTCAAGACCAACCAGAGATGTCCATCAATGACCAGTCCCCTCCAGCACTGCAGAACACTATAAGTGGTATTTACCAATGTCTGTGAGAACTGACCACTTTGGCACGCCAACAGGCAAAAAATAACAACCATACTACGGTAATACAACAAACAGTTCAAGAACAAGCAAATGTGGCTGAAATGCGAAGAATGATGATACTCAAATAATTTCTACGACAACGTCCCCCTACCTTCCAGGGAAGTACAGAGCCACTTGATGCAGAGAGGTGGCTTCGACAAGTGAGAAAAGTAATTGATGGTATGGATATTGCCCCAGAACTACGAGTTACCTTGGCCTCTTATCTTTTTGAGGGTGAAACCAATCACTGGTGGGATACAGTCAAAAGAATGAGGAACGTAGACCAAATGATATGGACCACATTTGAGAAAGTGTTCAATGATAAATATTTTCCAGAGTCCATAACAGATAAAATGTTCTCTGACTTCCTAGAGTTGCAACAACGCAACTTGACAATCACGCAATATGAATCTAAATTTGCTGAACTCTCTCTCTTTGCCACGGAATTAGTTTTCACCGATGCCAAGAAGGCCAAACGATTTGAACAAGGCCTTAAGTCTTTTATTCGAGGACGCCTTGTAGCACACTGACTGAGAAACTATAAGAAACTGGTAGAAAGGGCTATGCTGGTAAAAAGAGAACTAAAGGATACCCAGAATATTAGAAGTCGTCAACAAGGCAGAGGAAGTCAGACAAGAAATGGTGGGAGCAGTAGTCACCAAAGAATGACCCCATATCGACGGCCAGGGCAAGATACTAATGAGAGGAGAAGTGCGAATCAGAGACAAAATTCTGGAATTGGAACAGAGCATCCAATGATACAAAACGGTGTTTTAAGTGTGGGAAAACTGGACATTTTAAAAATCAGTGTCCCTTCACGTCCTCTCAAGGGTCAGCCAATCAAGGTTCTTATCAGCCATTCACGCAATCTCGTCCACAACAACGCCCTTACCCTACTCAACCGACAAGATTGACAACCCAAGTTGGACCTTCACAGTCGTTTCCAAATCTGGCACAACAGAAAAAGCCAAGAAGTAGAACAACAATTCCCGAAGGTCAACCTCGGATCTATGCAATGGCTACACCGGATAACGACGCTGCTAATGGTAATTGAAGGTATCGTTCTTATTTATAATTCTTGGGCACATTTCTTATTTGATCCGGGGGCAACCCATTCTTTCATTCGTACTTCATATGTTGTTGCCTTAGGGTTAGAATTAAAACCTTTGGATCGCACATTGTGTATAAACCTACCTACGGGAGATTTCTTGGAAACAACTAGGGTATGTAGAAATTACATAAT